ATGGGATACAAAGATGGTATATAGTAATAAAAGTGAGTAATAGACAAAAACATAAAATTCATATATAGAAACAAAGAGTCAAGGTAAGGCACTTACATAGATAGTAGTCGTGATAGTAGATAACCATAAGACGTATACAGAAGCACATTCTTACAAGGCACACAACGACATAACACACTCTTACAAAGTACACTCTTACAAGGCACTCAACCTAAGACTCTTAAGAAGACTATTGTAGGAAGCTCTGTAACTTTTCTATCTGAAGGTGTCTCTTCCTTTGGTATGGGCTCCCTTTTATAGAAGAGGGAGGGCGAACTTCAAATGGTTTTAAATCGGCAACGACAAAGTAAATATAAGATTCGCACCGACAAAGTAAAAGATGCGCTTTACATTAAGAAAAGTAAAAGATTCTTCTACAGTGTTTTGTCGGCAATAATGGTTTTTATTATAAAGCTTTTCTGGACACGTGTCCTAAATAGTCTGGAGTCGTACCGCCTTTGATTTTTTCTTTCTTTAATTTATTGGGGAAAATATTCCCATACAGTCGTCTCCGTTTGGAGGGTCACAATCTTCTAAATCATTTTTTGAGAAAGTAGGGGTTTGAACTTCATCTTCTTCAAGGGCAAATAATAGCCTTTTTCTAATCTTAGCTTTAGAAAGAGTTGGATTCTTCTGTTGCATTAGTGAAATGTATTTAGAGAATCATATGTCAGATTGTGGCGCAAAATTTCTAATGGCTTTCATATAAATTTTCTCTGGCTCTAGAGATTCATTTTTATAGGCACGCCACCATTTAATTGAAATCTGTTGTTGTAGTTCTGGAATATAATCCCATTGATTCAAATTATCCTCAGAAATTTGGTAGGACCATTTTAAAATCCATGAGACCTAATATAAGACCATAAAATAAATGTGGTAGTCTCCTTTTAGACTATTCTTATTATAATCAGATAATTTTCTATGTGATGCTTGCAATTTTTCAGGTAGTATATGGTTTATTGATCTACTGATCCCTATACTAGGAACCAACTTTTAAACCAATTTGGGAATTCTACTATTTCAGTTCTTTTAAACTGTACGTATCAGCTGTGTGTATGTTTAGTATTCTGGTAGGCAAATACTTCATCCCATGCCTTAATATATTCGAAATAACGATATGATTTGATTTTAAATCCTTTGGTATTCAATACCCTTGGTTTTAAAGGGTTGAGACCCCAGTCTCTATAAGAAATGATTTTATGTATCTGAAATTTTGAATATGCAATTTTCAAGTCATTGTTTCTATAATGGTGTACTATTGACACCGACCCTTCCATTAATATTGTTTCATATCATTTTCTATATCTATTTCCCATATTTGGATGTAGATAGTGGCGTAAGTATAAATTTGCTATTTCAATAGGATATTTTTCTCTGTGCTCATTTTCTATTATGATCAGCAGTATATATGTTGTTTCGAGAAATGGAGTTCTATTTTGGCCTGGAGTGTCGGTGCTCAAAGGGGATTGCTAGGGAGATATTTCAATCTCATGAGCTGGCTTTCTTATTAAAGCATTTGGAGT